TGCGGATTACTTCGATATTGACTTAGGTCACAAGCATTATAAACTAGCAGTGTAATCCAAGACGCGTTTTTCTTTCTGTTTAGAACTGGTCAACTGAATGTACATGTTGGGACAGCTTCTGAGAGCTACGACGGAGCCTCAAGATGCTGTAAAGGAGCCGAAGAGTTTCCATCCAATCAGAACACAATGGAGCTTTCTAGAATATCAACGTGGCATGCTATTTTGGACAGTAGAATAATATGCCTCTTCGTAGATTGGTTGAATTATAATATCGATATAACAAACTTTAATGTCTATAAATACCCATGATCTTCTGTACATTTTGATTCTTACCCAACAAGCACTTCTCCAGTCTTCTTCTGTCTTTTGATCTGTGACTGTGAAGGTTCTATACATTCAAGTGCCGTAGTTGTATACTATATTCTGAGTTAATCAAGCAGCGAACTTAACAGTACCTATATCCGTGTGTTGATTTTCACTCCAGAACTCGAACTCAGTACCGTTTGTGTCCAGGATTTAACTAATTGTAGACGTGTTTTGTCGGATTTTCTATTTATATATTTTAGAACCAGACAAATATGATTCTACGGTTGGCTATTTTAAACCCAGTTTAGTTTTCTTTTTTACACTGATCAATCATTAAGAGATAATGAACATCATATTGAATGAATGCTCATTGTTAACAGCATCATGTTGGCCAGTAAACTCGATGATGTTATATTGTGTGTATATTTTTTAAATATCAGATGGTTGAAAATTATTCGGGTCTCATTGGTAACATTTCAGGCTGTGATAAGGAGTAAGAGAGAATGGACTCAAACAGGGGTTACTTCAGCTTTCATTAGACACGAAAACGTTATCCACACAGATGTACAACGTTATATTTCCTAGTGATTTCTCACCTTATATCAATCCATAGTGAAAATTACCCTGAAATAGGTGAAACTTTATCTTTTTTTCCTCATTTACTCTTTTTGTTATATTTTTAAAACTTTTCAAAGATTAGTTGTAGGGTTTTGATTTATCGATTTAATTCATCACAGATTGGTCATATTTGTGGTATCACTGAAGGTCAAGGAACAATGCAGGTTTATTATCTACCAGTATAGGACTTCCAATCAGTGCATACTCACGATTACATCAAAGATCAAACTTACAACCTTCAAGTCTTACAGTGAATGTTTAACTATTAGGATTTTTATTCCGGTGTTTAATCGTACAATCCCTATAAAAGGAGGAAAATTTATGCAATATTCTCTGCTTTACAACTATACCTCGACTAAGATCAGTCTTTGGTAAATACGACTTACAAATTTAATAACTATTCAGAAAATATCAATCAAATCATATTAGTTAATTTACCAGTAATTTACTTCAAATTATCCCTGAAGTTCCGTTGAAAAACCCTAACGTCAGTTAAGAACCACTATTCGTTACAGACGATTGTACAGATGATATCGAAGATCAACTGAAGTTAACAGTGTAAACCATTCGATCTCATTAGTGGACCGAACGTTAAAAGCTCATCACGTGACTTGAAAGTCGTAGGTTCAGTACCCTGATTAATCATGGATGGTTAAACAAAATACACTTGAGATAATTTGAATCTTACGATCTTTTTGATATTTATTCACTAACCTTCTCTCTGTCTCTCTGTCTCTTTCTCTCTCTCTCTCTCTCTCTCTCTCTATATATATATATATATATATATATATATATATATATATATATGTATATGTAGTGTACGCTACTTATATCTTTCGACATAAGTAGTATGTAATATTATCCAGAAGTGGAATACCTGGCAGCAGAATGTTGAGAAGATCGAATTGAAGAGAATAGCAATGTAAACAAAGAGTAATCGAAATGAAGGAATAATGAAGTTTATGAGAGACAATTAATGGAAGACTTACAAATGAAGTATTTGATGTATGCTTTTCACATACTTGGTATGTATCTTAGTACATGTATACATAGTTTTGGTTGTTTACCCCCCCCCCCCTGTAATTCTATCCTGTCTGAAAAATTCACTGCATAAACAACTGTATATTTAGAAAAAAAAACCCATAACAATCAAATCTGTGACCAAACTATTCCTAATGTCAACATGGAAATAAATCAAATACTTTTCTCTTTTCTTTCTTTTTTGTTTCCATCTTCTTTTTTTTTCTTTAGTTCGACTTCATCAACTTATATTATTTAGATGTAAATGAATATCAAATCGGGGTTCATTTTACTTCACTTAATGTGAAGTTACATTTTGGGCTTAATTTAAACATTAAAACAAAAAAGAAACGAAGGAATGAAAGTATACATTAACATACTTTCCAATGAAGTCATCATTAAAACTAGTTATGAGTGATTAATCTGGTATAGAAAACATTGATGTTGACATTTAAATGATTATTTTAAACGATATTGCATCATTTCACTTGGTATTGTTCGACCTGTATCTTCCCATTAAGGTTTAAGACTGCAATTGATCAGTCTGTTATTGACATATGTGCATCGATATTGCCTTAATTCACAAGCTTTTTGTAAGCAATGATGGATAGTGGCTAGCAGTGGAATCCAGTTTGACGTGCGTTTCGTCCTATTTGGGACTCGTCAGCTGGATGTACCTGCATCTCAGAGTTCATGTTCACTCTGGGACTCGAACCGAGTATAATTCGCTCCAAACGTCACCGCGTTATCCACTCAGCTACTGAGTCTTGATAGCCACTTGCTTGTGCAACGGGGTGATAAGTCGAATCATTACAAATAATAATCTAAATTTCATTCTTTTATCATTCTCATTATTGTTTAGATAATCAACAGGTAGGTACGTATTTCGACTTAGAAGCCTTACTCTTTTATAAAAGCTTCATGAAATAATGTAAGATCTCTCAGAATCGTTTCGTTGTTCATCATGATTTTATTCATTAGTTTTATTATTCAGGGCAGTTGAATCTCACTGTCATTAATTAATACCACAAATAGATCACAGTATGAATTCAATTACAATTAAAACATAGATTGAATAGTTCTACTGTACTAATCCTTTTTAATTAGTGATTGATTATTAAATATAACTGCGTGATGAATACGTACATCATATTCAACATTGATTTAGTCAATCTTTAGTACAACACAATAATGAAGAAATAAGAGAAGATGGCTGATCGCTAGCAGTGGAAGATTTAGACAAACAATACAAAATGTACATACACTTCACCTTATTACACAAGCTAGTTGCTATTAGGAGTCAGTATTTAATTGGATAACATGATGGCATTTGAAGTGAACGGTACTGGGTTCAAGTCCCTAAATGAACATCAACCCTGAGATGTAGGCACATCCAACTGACGAGTCCTAATTAGAACGAAACACGCGTCCTCGATTCCACTGCTAACCATCATCCATCTCTACTCCGAATGCTTGTGACTTAAGACAATATCAAGGTAACCCGCACTGGATGTTCATATATCAATAAGAGACTGATCAATCAAAGTTGTTTTCTGTGTACATAATGGTTTAACGATCAAGTTCAGACATTGATCCAAAACTATAAAATAGAATGGAATTCAATCATTTACCTTCAGTACTTATCCTCTTTTTTCATAAGTTTCTTATTTATTCTTATCATGAAATTCCAATATTAATCCAACATGGATTTATTGAAGTATGAATTACATCTTTCTTCAAAGAATATTGCTCCTAGAAGTGTAAAATTTGACCTAAATTTTGTATTAAACATTTAAACGTCGAGTAAGTATAATCAATAAGGATAACTGTACTCAAATTTCATATTCATAGATAGATAGATACATACATACTAGTAAAATATATTGACAATTTTATAAGAATTAATACTCTATCATAGCAATCGGACAAATCAAGTGAATTTAGGTCAAAAAATAAATATCAGTATAGGGTTATGGAGATAACTAAGTTTTTGATTGAGATCATGAACCGATTGATGTTAGGCTAACATTGAAAACCTGGAGGCACTGGATGGCCGTTTCATCCTATGTGCTCATTAGTGACTAGCTTCTTGATGGAATTCTCGGAGTTCTAGTGAGAAGTCGTGACTAGTGGAGCTAATCTATGTCAAGTAGAGACGGGTATCTACCTCGGTACAATGGAATATGGTCACGCAATTTCATAGAATGGTTGAAGTTATACATTAACACCATTGGATGCCGGCTCAGTGGTCTAGTGGTCTTGGGTACGAATCTCGCCGGGTGTGGGATCGTGGATGCGTACTGCTGAGGAGTCCCATACTAGGACGAAACGGCCGTCCAGTGCTCGAAGGTTTTCCATGGTAGTCTAGTTTTAAATGACTAATCATTTCAATCAAAGGCATAATTATAATGAAACTTCATTGGTGGACATTAGGAAATGTCTCTTTTCTCTTTTTTTAACACTGAATTTAAGATCATATTTACTTATTGTGATAAAAATGTACATATGTACTTGAATTTGTGTGTGTGTGTTTACTTTCGTTCGGTCTTTCTTTCTTTCTTCCCTCCCTTGTCACTTAGCCTAACCCGATAATCTAACCAGAATACAATATAGATATGAATAGACAAAATACGTTATATATATGTACATCCATACATCCATATGTTGTAGGTCAGTATTTCATTTGATTTGTTCCTTATTCACACTTAACGTTTCTATGATGAAGATAAAATGCAATTTCAATTATATCTTCATTATTATTATCATCATCATCATCATCATAATTATGTGTAATGAAAATGCAATGATTGTGCATTCATGAAACGTATACTAGAATAACCAAACCAGCAACATAAACACACACACACACACACTTATATACAGACACCCACATAAATAAACAAACAAAGATCATCTGTCAATTTGAACATCAGAATTCCATTGTACAAATGTATCATTAGATCTTAATATTCAATCATATATGTATTTAGAAACTTCTTAAAGGATTTCTTATCCAAATGAAAATGATCTTCAATTAAAATGGATTTATACAAAATATGTTTGATCAATTATTGAATAATATGTCTAATTATACAAATCTATATTTCATTATTAATAATCATACTACTACTACTAATACTACTCCGTCTTCTCCTCATTCTTCTCCACCTTCTCATCCAACTACGACGACTACTACTACTACGACGACAACAACAACGATTCCTACTACTCATCATACTACTTATATCATCCCTATTACATTATCTAAACAAACTGAAATAGATTTAGAATATTTAGATCATATATTATCTATAATGCGTTTAATATGTGGTAAAATTTTAACCCCCTTATTATGTTTAATTGGATTTATATCCAATATTATTAATATTATTATATTAACAAGAGAATGGATGAGTTCATCAACTAATATTTATTTAACTGCTGTATCTATATGTGATTTATTATATTTATTATTTACTTATTTATTTTCATTATGGTTATATCCATCTATTCAACAATTAACTTTATATGCATATAGTATTACATATATACATGGTACTGCTAATTTATTTAGTAATATTACTACATGGCTTACAGTAAGTTTTACATTAGAACGTTATATTGTTATATCATCACCTATATTAGGTAAACGTTATTGTACTAAACAACGTGCACGTTATGTTATTATTATTATATTTATTATATGTTTTTTAATAACATTACCAGATTATTTTAAAAAAACCATCAAATATAATCATACTACTTATAATACTACTCATAATAATAGTAATCATCATTATCATCATAATCAATTAATCAATAATTCAACCAATATAACAATCAATAATGATCATAATCATAATAATAATCAATATTTAGTTGTTGATACACAAATCAATATTATTTTAATTAAAATTGGTTATGATTATATTAATCAAATTATATTTATTATATTACCAATGATATTATTAATTATATTTAATAGTTTATTAATAAGATCTGTGATGAAAGCCAATTATGATCGAAGAATATTGATCAAACAAGGTAATAATAATAATAATAATAATAATACTTGTATACCATCGATCAATATTATAAATGATCCGAAAAATATTGATTTATTACCGAATAGTAATACAAATATCAATACTCCTAATGATAATAATGGACGTCAATATAGTATGGTTCAATTAAATCAAGAAGCTACAACAAGTCACAATGTACCAGCTATTGTACGTGATGCATTAGAAGCAAGTATGAGAACAACAATTGGTATCACATCTAGTATAACACAATCATATCGATCAATGAATTATCAAACAAATTTATTACCAATTATGAATATTAAAAAAGGTACAAAATTAGGTGAACAACATCGTATTACATTAATGTTAATTACAATTGTTATAGCATTTGTATTATTACAATTACCAAGTATGGTACCAACAATAATAATGAATTTATGGAATACTGGTATAATACAATCAACACAATATACAACTAAGTGCCTATTAATCTATGCAAATATATCAAATGTATTATTAATTATTAATGCTGCATTAAATTTTGTATTTTATTCATTATTTTCAGCAAGATTTCGTCAAACATGTTATATACTATTGAAAAATATTACTTGTTTAAAACATTTTTTATATCAATAATACTTATACTACTATGAATACTACTTATATCAATAATCATAATTAATCATTTGATAAAACACTAATTCATAGTGATAAACTTTCATTGAAATAATTCTGTTTCTAAATACAATTATTAATGAGTATCCATGATAAATATTCATAGTAACTGAATGTCATGATTATAGATCAAAGTCAACTTATCTATCCTGTGAGTATACATAGATAATCTTTGGAACAGATTGATGTTTACTGAAGAAAAATTCATCTATATATAACTATAGTAATTTTCCAATGAAAGAATCTAGAATGTTCCAAGAAGATGAAATCATGGAATTCATTGAAAGTAATCAAAGTATTCATGGTAATGTTCTCATCATGAATAAACAAACAAACAGATATAATTATGATGTAAATTGTTTTCCTTATATATATATAACCTACTGTTGAACATATATGCATGGATATACATTGTGAATGACTTGTATTTTCACAGCTTATTATTGTTTCATTTGCCTAGTTGAAGTATAGATGATAAATATATACATCATATATATTTTGTAAGTAAAGAAAATGTTTCGATTGAGAGAAACTAGTGGGTAAATCAAGTAATATATATATATATATGGAATACTTACTTACTTATTTATATACTTACGCCTGTTACTCCCGATAGAGTATAGGTCTTCCTTTCCAGTTCTGTCCAATTTTTGTTCATTCTTCTCATATCTGTCTCGATTTCTCGGTATAATGTGTTTTTTCATCTTCCCCTTCTCTTTTAGCCTTGAGGATTCCAAGTGAGAGCCTGGCTTGTGACACAGTTGGGTGCTTTCCTCAATATCTCTCCTATCCACTTCCAGTGCTTGTTCCCGATTTCTTCCTCCACTGGAATGTGGTTTGTTCTCTCCCATAGTAGGTTGTTGCTCATAGTGTGGTGTCTGGCTAACGGATCCGAATTATTTTGTGTAGACAACTGTTAATAAACACTTGTATCTTTTGGATGATGGTTCTAGTAGTTCTCTAACTAGAATAGTAATATTGTTTTCATACTTGTGTTTACTTATAAGATTAGTATACTAGTTGAAATATGATATTTGATTAGTTGTCTAAAATGTAGATTGTATATTTATCAACAAAAATTAAGGCTGATATTATTCTCAGTATCGGATTGAGGGTAGATCCGTGATTTTTTTTACTAATTTGATCGGGTCTATATTTTAAAGTATTCAGTTGATTGCGATAATCAGTCGACATTCTTTGTAGTAAAAGAAACAAGTGATAATTAACGAGTAGATATAGTCATTTTTAAGATCATAATGTAATTATAGACGTCAGATCACTGGTGTAGAGGTTCAGAGTCCGCGCGAGATAATTATACGTCCTAGGTTCGAATCTCGCCAGGCGGGTCGTGGATGCACACTGCTGAGGAGTTCTAAACTAGAGCAAAAAGATCATCCAGTGCTCCCAGGTTTTCCATGGTGGTTTAGCATTAATTGACTTATCAATTCAATCATGAAATTAGCAATTCAATTAGTTTGATCGGTTTCATATTTTATAGGAAAATGTACATTTTTATGAATGTAAACGTTAATTTTATCAACTAAAATAGTTAGTTACGCTTAATGATTGTCTATGATTTCATACAATAACTGGTAGTTTCAAAGTATTTCTAAGAAAAGGCAGAAGAGATCATATTCAGAAATAACATCAGTCTAACATCAATCGGTTCATATGATCTCAATTAAAAACATCAGTCTATAACATTTTGACTATTCTATTAAACTATATTAGTTAGTATCATATAATTGATTCATGTTTGTATAATTATCGTAATAAATGGCTGGAGATATCATATCATCTGGCTAGGTATCAATTTTATCGACAGAGATGGATTCATTCTTTCCTTCCTTATACTTTATACTTTAAGTTAGTTTCTCTTGATGAACTGTATATTATCTATTCCCAAATTATTCTATTACAATTAGGATTATCATTACGTCTAATACTCTTGTAGTGAAGGAGAACACAGGTGAGGACAACCGAATTATATTTAGCACAAAATTACAGAATTACTTGGTAAAACCATACTATAATACTTAATTTGCAAAATGTTCAATAATTGTCTTGAACTTCGCTATTCTTGCATTTCCATTTTGATTGCTTTCTATTCCCACTCTTCCTTTCTTGATCTTCCCCATCTTCTGGTGCCAGACATTACATTGCTGACTCGCGTTATGTACTACTTATATCAATATAAGTAGCACGCACCGCACTCTGATATAGAGTTTCCAAGTGTACTTTTGACAAGAAAAGAAAAACGATACTTAAACGTGTACAGTTATTCGATTCATTTAACTGATTATGTAAGTTGTATATTAAATGTTAAATTATTATCTTTCAATGTGAATGATTTACTTTAAATAAAATCCATGTCGGATGGAGACAAGTATCTACCTCAGTGCAATGGAAGATGGTCACGCAATTTCATGGATTGGTTAAGGTTAGAAATTAACACAGTTGGATGCCAACTCAGTGGTCTAGGGGTTGAGTGTTTGTGCGCGAGACTGAAGGCCCTGAGTTCGAATCCTGTGAGTGTAATCATGAATGCACACCGTTGAGAAGTCCCACAATAGGACGAAACGGCCGTTGAGTGCTTCCAAGTTTTCAATGATGGTTTAACATCAATCAGTTCATAATCTCAATCAAAAATTTCATATTGACTCAATATAGTTTTCCATTAAATCATTAAGCTATTAGATTGATAGTACATATGAATCAATATTTTTCGATTATTTTTAAATAGCCATTTAGAATTGATTATGCGAACTTTTAACTTACATACTTAATTACTTACGCCTGTTACTCCTCTTGAAGGAGCATAAGTCACCCATCACGACTCTCTATCCAACTCTGTTTTAAACAATCATTTACACTTGTTCCCAATCGCTATTCATCATTTGAAATCTGTTTTCAATTCCCAAGGCAGTGTATTCTTTGATCATCCACCTTTCTATTTCCCTTCACGATTCAAAGTTAACGTCTGTGTCGTGATACAGTTTCATGATTTCCAAAATGTTTATTCTATCCAATTTCAACGTCTATTAATAATTTCCACTTCATTTGGAAACTGATCTGTTCTTCATAAAACAATCATTAGATAAAATTACTGATATAAACGATAGTTCTTCCATTTTATCATACTGTTAATTTTCATGTGTCAATATTTAAATCAAACTAATTGGATATATGTATACCTAGATCAGGGTAATTAGGTCATTTGTACATCATTAAGTGTCTGGTAACCATTATGATTTCATTTTGTTCTGTATTTATATTATGTACAGAGGTTTTGGGGTATATATACAGAATGAATCAACTGGTCGGCGGCCTATGCTCCATTGGGAGTAACAGTAAGTAAGTAAGTAAGTAATATAGAAGGAATCACATACTAAGACGAGACAATTGTCAAATGCTATCGAGTTCATCAATGACTAGCTTTAAGATGTTCCTGAAGGACTAATGTGAAATTGTAACGAGTATTATACAAAAATATCTTTAGTGAAACAATGTATACCAATGTCATTAGATAATTATCATTCTCTATTGCAAATGGATAAAAGTTCATATTTTATAATTAAACGCTAAGTCAATGTTTTTAAGAGTTCTGAAAAGCAACTCCTAAGAGAAAGGTCATCGACGTTCAGCGCTGTACAATACTCTTCTAGGAGAAATTCGATCAAATAATACCTAGTTTTTTAGTGTTACATTAACAATGATTCAGTTATGCTGGCTATATACACATCAATTGATTGTACAGATCTTCATTGTAATAGAGTTCATATCATTTCTTATTGTTAGAAAATAAAGTAAATTGTCTTCAGAACTACATTTCATACTGAATATGTTTATTTTAGTAACATTCTAAACTGAAATTTATATAACCAAAGTAATTGACAAGTTTCTGTAAAGCATATTAACCAGATCTAGATGAAGGGGGACTGGCTGTGTTTGATGGCTTAAATGTTTTTGTTTTATTACTGTAGACTCTTCAAAATGATGTGTCTTGATTTAATGAAGTTTGGGATTGAGCAGGGATTGATTCGAAAAACCATAAAATTACTCGTTTGGTTAATGATTTTCGATGATTTTTTAAAATGGTACATTACGTTATAAAGTCCAGGGTAAACAACAATTCTGAGATGCAGACACATTCAGCTGACGAGTCCTAAATAGGACGAAACACACGTCCTAGATTCCACTGCTAACCATTATACATCTTTGTATATGATGCTTGTGAATTAAGCCTATATCAAGGCAATACGCACAGTATGCACATATGCCAATAACAGACTGATCAATTGCAGTCCTAAACATCAATGGGAAGATTCAAACAAACAATACCAAGTGAATTTAGCATTTATACTCGTTTGTTATTCATTTTCTAGACTAAAGTGATCAATTCCAGTTTATAAATGAGTTTTTTTAGTGACTACTTTGATATTGTTGAAGTATCATCTTTTTAGTGTAGGACAAATCAGCTGTTCATACTGAATACTCCTCTGAGAGTTAACCTAGAATTTTTACTAGAGTTAAGTTTCAGCAGTCACTTGTTCCCACTGAAAACTTTGGAATTCAATGACTCGCATTTCCATATTCAATCATTTGGTAAGTAAACAATAAATTAATTGAATAAAGTTAGAAATTCAAATGACTGAATCTAAAACCACTGATTTATAACTGAATGTTCACTAAGACATCTGGCAAGGGTGTTTTATATTAGAGAAAAAAATGGTTGTTCAGTGTTATCTGATTTATATCAGTAACCTAGTCTTTGTTAATCATTGACAAATGCTACCAGTATATGACCACAGATGCCTTAGAAATAATGCTCGAATCCGCTGGGATCATTAGGTAAGTAATAGCAAGGTTAGATGCAGGGTATTAGTGAATGATGGTAAGTCAGTTGATGAAGTTATGAATCTTCATCGACTGAGTTAGTTGGGCCACGTGTTAAGTATGCCAGAACACTGATTACCACGATGCACAATGCTGACTAGTGTTAAGAATGGTTGGAATATAGTTAGGAGTGGCCAATCCAAAACAAGGCATCAGTGCTTGAAGTCACTAACTTCTAGTCCGAGCCATGTTGGTAGATGTAGACTACTTGGTTGGGGTCCTCGTGACTATTGTAACCAATGGTTGTAGACTCTGTGTGACATGGCTCAGAATCGATCACAATCACGTAGGTGTGTACACTTTTTGTCTTCCCTTAAACTATGAGATTAAAATCGCTTCATATCTTTCTTTCTACCAACTAATTCTTTCTTTCTGTACCATATCCTTACACTAATGAGTTAACTGCTTCTATGAATCCGGTGTTCGTCGTTCTGTGTTAATGTGGTGTGGCAACTTGGACCGATGAATGTATGTGCCTGGTCTTACGTTGTAACCAACTGACTGACTGACCTTAAAAGATTTACTGATCCCTACAAATTAACTCAACAATACATATATATTCATATACTGGCCCTTCATTTCGATAAGATCCAACAATCCATCCGAAGTACTAAGGGTCTTATATCAATGTTAATTTGAATACATATATCAAACCGCTATGCAAAGATACATCATTTTTACGCTCAAGTTTACATGAGAATTATATTAGCTTACCTTAAATCTTTTAATAAACTAACTTAATTTAGTAAGTTTGTACTGTAGTGAAGTGTATATCTATACAACTGGATTGCTAATGTAGAAAGTAAGAAAATTGATTAGAAGATGATTTCATTTTATTTGACATGGTTCTCATCAGTTGCTAACAACCTGTAATATTCAGTGAACTGTAAAGTATCATAAATTTATATCTTATGATGAGATTTATGTAGATTTATATCCACACTAATGTATATTTAAAAGTATTTCACAAGGTCATTCCGTTCAAATGTGGAACTTTTCAACAGTGCACATTCACGATCTCGTCTCAAG